GGTAGGGTCCAAATAGTCGATTACGGTAGATGACAATCCACACGTTCACACTAAATTCATGCTAAAAATTTCTTTCCCGAACTGCATGCGGATTTTGATGCGACCAAATATGTTGATTATGAAAATTTACCACTCCAAGTCTAGTGAAGCATGACTCATCGGTCCATAAAACGTTACTTAAAAACTCCCATTATTATCAGTTCTATCAAGAATCCACTGACAAAATTTGATTCTTCGTTCTCCGTCCCCTGGCGGTAGTCCTTGCGCAGGCTGCAAATGGTAAGGACGTCTATGGTCATTTCTAAGAACACGGTGAACATGGCTTGCTGAAATTCCCAAGGCACCAGAAACTCTCCTAACACTTGTGGTCGGATCTCTATCAAACTCACGCAGAATCATACGGGTAAATCTGCGCTGACGAACATTTATGTTTTGATCCCTTTGGAGATTTCCAAGACCATTTTCAATTATTTGGCGATGCACTTTTACAAATACTGAGCGAGTTGGATGTCGTCTGTTTGGAAATCTTCGTGCGTATTCTCTGGCTGCTTCTGCTGCGTTTCCATTTACAAAGCCATACACAAAATGAATATCCGCTAACCCTTGGTTGGAGAATAAAAATGGCATTTTTATAAAACTTACAAAAAAAAAACAGGTAAAAGAAACTAAATTTCATGCATTCACAATTGCAAAAATACGTTTCAGGTTTCAACACACAACAACTAATTGACGTTTAACCTTATTCTGCTTTCAATTTCAAAAATATTTACAGGCACAGCCTACTTCTAAAAATTATCCACATACTGACTTTTTAACGTTATTTTATCATAAATAATTAAAAATGCATCGAACCTTAAAAATCGAAATATCTCAAAAACGGCTAACTATAACGAAAACTCACAAGAGAGCTTTTTTATGTTGAAAAGTACGAAGAATCAGTTTTTTTATTCAAAAAGCAAAAAATTGCACTAAGAAAAAATTTTCGGTCATTTTAATACACTACAGGTACAGAAGAGAGCGCCCTCTAGCGGCTACAGTAAAACTATGCCCATGGTTCGTTTGGTTCTACCAAAAAACCCTTGTGTACCAATGTTCACTGTTATATATCAAATATTGTTCGAAATATTTAAAAAAACTATTTTAGAAAGTAAATTTAAACACCCGGAAGCCACGCATTTTTCGACCCATGTTTATATAGACTTTATGCATTAATTTTAAAAGTTCTATCTTAAAGTTATGCAACAATAAACTGAAACACCCTGTATAATAATAAGAAGTATCTACAAGTTCGTTGGGCGGATACCCAAAGCCGAAATCTGTCGAATATTCCAGCAGAAAACGCGCAGTACCATTTATCGATCAATAGCGAAGTGCAAGCAGGAAATACCATGTCTGAATCTCCTAAAGTGAAAGACCACGTGCATTTACTGCACAGAGGTCAGAGAGATTGATGAGAAGAGCAAAAAATCAGGTTTGAATGTCAACAAGGAGACTATATCGTCAATACAGATCTTCTAAGAGTGCGATATCGTTGGAATTGAGGAAAAAGGGGGGGGGGCAAGTATTTTTCTTTGAGTAATTCTGAAATGAAGGGGAACGACGGCTTTTATACGACAACGTAGAGGAATCCCCTGACAATATTAGATACAAACATGAAGCGAAATTTGAAGATAAAATCCTTGTCTGCTGCGCAATTTCCAGCAGCGGTGTATTCCAACCTTTTGAACCTTTTGTGGGAAGAGTGAGGGGTGAAGCTGTGAATAATCACAGGTATATTGATAACTGTCTTTCTAAGTTGCTCCAGCTTATCCACGAACATCATTCTAATGACCATATCATGTTTTGACTAGACCTAGCATCATGCCCTTTCTCAAGAGGTACCCAAAACAGGCTTAGACAACACAATATACATTCTGTTCCCAAAAACGATAATCCCCCAAACTTCCCGAATGATGATTAAGGCGGCGAACTTACGGAAAACTGAGAGAAATTGATTTGAATTCCGTTCAGGACCTCATGAGAGACATTCGAAGAAAGTTGCGTCTTTTAGAGCAGAATGGGCCACTCCACATAATTCGATAGTATAGTTTAGTTAAGTATTGAGTTGTTATTTATGTTAGTCTTAAAATAAATTTGTTCACTAAAATAAAATCCGATACATATTTTGTGCCAAAACTTTTAGGAAAAGCCTTTATCGCTTTAATAAATGAGTATAGTGAAGTACAAACATAAAGCCATTAGCAAAATTATAAATCCCTGTCACCACTTCTTGCAAAATTCCAAGATCCTTAAGTACCTCCTTGTTCGTATATGGGATTATCCGATAATTTCCAACAATTAACTTCACCGTCTCCGGCGTCTTCCACCTCAGTCCCGGTCGCGTGACGTCATGCTCTGTATTTTTGGGCTAATTTCATTTAAAAGCCACTGCTACCACGATTCAGGTTAATATCGCAGTCAATAACAGAGTCCAGATTTAATGAACAGATTGCAAAGCGCTCAATAATCGATAATGTCTTACATAGTTCATGGCACAATACTTAAAACCTATGAGGACTGAATAGAATCTGTATACTTTCGATCTCTGCGACCATAAACAACCGTAGACAATATTGTTTAATGCTTTTTAGCAATCATCAATACGGTATAGGTCTAGTCGTTCTTGGTTCTTGTGGTATAACAGCTAAAAGTGTACTTAACAAAACTCCGTCTCCGAGTAATTGTTTTTTTATGAATTATGTTACACAAGAGGAGGACTCGGTTGTTGTTATTGTTTTAAGATGTCTTAAGCTTTGATTACATGTAACGAGTACAGTGGCGAGACAGCAAAATATAACTAGGCCGAGAGACTTGTACGGGCGAGAAGGTGTTCACACGCATCTGGAACTTTTCTTTGAACCAGTGCATTGTCGGGCTAGTTTTGCTAATAAAAATGAATCATAACAGCTGTATCAAGAAATATACAAAGTTACTCATGCCACTTATGATTGAAGATTTATATGAATTATTGCGCGAAAAAAAGAAGCGTGTGTGGACAAGAAAATGGATTGCAAGGAGATCAGAATTTGGTGCTAGAAGCACACTTTTTAGAGAATTGCAGTGGGAAGATCCTAATGAATTCAGAGCACTTTTTAGAATGGATGTAGAGCATTTCAATGCATTATTGGAAACTCTCACTCCAATGATAAAAAAGAAAATACTGTCATGAGGCAAGCTATACCTGCAAGGATTAAACTACAGGTGGCATTAACATAACGTATATTGCAACAGGAGTCAGCTACCGTTATTTTCAAGCCTTCTATAGAATATCTCGAGCTGCAATATCGTTACTCATACCAAAGGTACTGGATGCAATATATGTCTATTTGAAAGACTATGTAAAGGTAGGTGATTTTTTTATCAGACATTTTTTTGAGAGTGAATAGTTTCTTAAATTCTTGGGCTGATATTAAATATAACATAATAGTAAATTCGTTTTATTATGAAAGTAACAAGCAATTTATTTCGACATTAAACTTGTTCCTTCCCGATGTCACTGTCACAGGCAGCAGCCATAGCTAACGTTATAATATCATTCGTGGTGCGAAGAGTGTCCGATTCTGAGGTGATGTCATCAAATCTGTTTGTCACATGGTCTGTTGACGCAGTAGATGTAACGGGTGATTTTTTAAGAGGTATAGGATTTGATTTTCAAAAAAAAAAAAAAAATTTGAAAAAACGATTAAATCTTTATTTGAATCGATAGAACGGTCGATATAATTTAATGTTTGAGGATTAGTAAATGTTGGCCGCGGCTCCGCTTTAGATGGCCCATGCGCAAGGTCCAATTTTGGCACACTCTCTCTCCAACATATCGACCGGTATCTCACGAATAAATGCTTCAATATTGGCTTCCAGTGCGTCAATTGTTGCTGGTTTATCCCTGTAGACATTAGCCTTAACATGGCCCCACAAGAAATAGTACAACGGCGTTAAATCACACGATCTAGGCGGCCAATTGACGGGCCCCAAACGTGAGATAAACTGTTCATCGAACTCGCCTTTCAATAGGGCCATTGTTTCGTGTGCGGTGAGGCATGTGGCACCGTCTTGTTGAAACCACATGTCAGCCAAGTCCAGCTCTTCCATTTTGGGCAAAAAAAAGTTTGTTATCATCGCACGGTAGCGCTCGCCATTCACAGTTACGTTCCGGCCATTGTCGTCTTTGAAGAAGTACGGCCCGATGATACCACCGGCCCATAATCCACACCAAACAGTGATTTTTTCTGGATGCATTGATAGCTCTTGCAATGCTTCTGGCTGGTCTTCACTCCAGATGCTGCAATTTTGCTTGTTAACGTACCCATTCAACCAGAAATGAGCTTCGTCGCTGAACACAATTTTTCGATAAAAATGTGGATCTTCCTCCAACTTTGCCGGCACCCATTCACCAAATTGGAAACGTTGTGGGAGGTCGTGTGGCTTCAATTCTTGCACCAGCTGTATCTTATAAGGTTTTAAATTTTCCACGTAGTCGAGCAACAGAGGCCCAATTGCTGCGAACGGCGGCGAATCGACATTTCACGATCATCACTAACACTGGCGGATACAGCCGCAATATTTTCTTCAGTCCTCACTCTACGTCTGCGTGTTGGTGGTTTAATGTCCAATAATGTAAACTGGGTTCGAAATTTAGTCACAAGCTTCCGAATAGCTCCTTCAGTAGGCCGACCAAATTGCCCATAAATTGGAAGCAGTGCTCGATGCACCCTCTTAACTGAGCATGAATTTTGATAGTAAAATTCAATAATTTGCAAGCGTTGTTCGTTCGTAAGTCGATTCATGGTTGAATTATAGACCAAACTGAACAAGTTTGACAATGACACAAGACACGATTCACGCGTCATCTGTCAAAAACAGTGTTGCCAAAAAGATACTAGCAAAAAAATCAGCCATTATAACTAACATCAGTGAAATTTGAAAATACAGAAGATGATCTTTGACTGCTGTTATTCGGCGCAGACTTTTCTCTGTAATCCTTGATACCGATTTCGCTCAAAAGGCTTTGGATTCAACACTGAGCTAATAAGGCATTTTCTACCGAAAAAGTTTTAAGTTGCGATGCAACACTCTTCCCAAACACGTCAAGAGGGTTTTCTTCGGCAGATTTGACTTGCTCATGTAAGCTTTTCAAATCAGAAATCGCTTTGACAATATCCCTACTTCTCTTCCTTGCATGTGAAATATTTCCAATGCTGCTAGTAGAAGCTGATGTAGGTAAATTTTTGGCGTTGGTTTGTGTTACATCAGCTGTAGTAATTGCTTCGGTGTAAGGTCACGGAGGGGTCATTTCCATGTGCAATGGTATCTTCAGTGCTGGGTCCATTAATCTGAAAATAACCGAAATCCTGTATTGTTTCAGGTACCACAGAACTATCAAGAATGGCAAAAGATAGAAGCAGGCTTCAGAACTAGATGGAATTTTCCTGGTTGCTATAGATAGGAAGCATGAATTGATTCAAGCACCTCCGAACTGTGGAAGTGAATTTTTCAATTTTAAGGACACGAATTGTGTTGTGCTTATGGCTGTTGTTGACCATGACTACTGTTTCCGTTATGTTTATATCGGAGCAAATAGAAGAAACTCGGACAGTGGAATTTTCAGAAATAGCACATTATACAGGGTGTTTCAGTTTATTGTTGCATAACTTTAAGATTCGATAGAACTTTTAAAATTAATGCATAAAGTCTATATAAACATGGGTCGAAAAATGCTTGGCTTCCAAAATACAGGGTGCTTAAATTTACTTTCTAGAATAGTTTTTTTTAATATTTTGAACAATATTTGATGTATAACAGTTAAAATTGATATACAAGGGTTTTTTGGTACGACAAAACGAACCATGGGCATAGTTTTACTGCAGCCGCTAGAGGGCGCTCTCTACTGTACCTGTAGAGTATTAAAATGAACGAAAATTTTTTCTTATTGCAATTTTTTGCTTTTTGAATAAAAAAACTGATTACACGCACTTTTCAACATAAAAAAGCTCTCTTGTGAATTTTCGTTATCGTTATCCGTTTTTGAGATATTTCGATTTTTGAGGTTCGATGCATTTTTAATTATTTATGATAAAATAACGTTAAAAAGTCAGTATCTTGATAATTTTTAGAAGTAGGCTGTGCCTGCAAATATTTTTGAAATTGAAAGCAGAATAAGGTTAAACGTCAATTAGTTGACAGTTAGTTTTGTTGTCTGTTGAAACCTGAAACGTATTTTTGCAATTGTGAATGCACGAAATTTAGTTTCTTTTACCTGTTTTTTTTTGTAAGTTTTATAAAAATGCCATTTTTATTCTCCAACCAAGGGTTAGCGGATATTCATTTTGTGTGTGGCTTTGTAAATGGAAACCCAGCAGAAGCAGCCAGAGAATACGCACGAAGATTTCCAAGCAGACGTCATCCAACTCGCTCAGTATTTGTAAAAGTGCATCGCCAAATAATTGAAAATGGTCTTGGAAATCTCCAAAGGGATCAAAACATAAATGTTCGTCAGCGCAGATTTACCCGTATGATTCTGCGTGAGTTTGATAGAGATCCGACCACAAGTGTTAGGAGAGTATCTGGTGCCTTGGGAATTTCAGCAAGCCATGTTCACCGTATTCTTAGAAATGACCATAGACGTCCTTACCATTTACAACCTGTGCAAGGACTACAGCCAGGGGACGGAGAACGAAGAATCAAATTTTGTCACTGGATTCTTGATAGAACTGATAATAATGAAGTTTTTAAGTAACGTTTTATGGACCGATGAGTCATGCTTCACTAGACTTGGAGTGGTAAATTTTCATAATCAACATATTTGGTCGCATCAAAATCCGCATGCAGTTCGGGAAAGAAATTTTTAGCATGAATTTAGTGTGAACGTGTGGATTGTCATCTACCGTAATCGACTATTTGGACCCTACCTTTTGCCTGCAAGGTTAAATGCTGCGACCTTCTTGGAATTTTTAAAGGCTGGACATGCAAATATGTGGGATGATGTTATGTTAGATTTAAGAAGATTGGCCTGGTTCCAGCTTGATGGTTGTCCAGCTCATTATTCGAGAATAGTTAGAAACTGGCTGGACGAAAATTATCCAGAAAGATGGATCGGCCGTGTAGGACCAGTCGCCTGGCCTCCACGATCCCCTGACCTAAGTCCATTAGATTTCTTTGTGCGGGGATTTCAAAAAGAAACAGTGTACCAGATTCCCGTAACCACAAGAGATATGCTAATAGACAGAATCAGGAATGCATGTGATGAAATAAGGCCTTATTTGAATAATGCTATACCACGTTCGATCATTCGTAGATGTGAATTGTGTATTGAACAATTGGGTTTACATTTTGAGCAACTACTTTAGATTTTGTATGTTTGTCCTAACTATCCAATAGCATTTTAGTTGTAAATAAGTAATTTAATTTGTTAAAAATAATATTGGAAAATTAAACAAATTAATATTCTGTTTTTTTGTGTTTATTTGGAGTTAGGAATTATTGCTGTGTTTAAAAACACAATCTAAACGATCATCTTAATTACGGCTAACTATAACGAAAACTCATGGGAGAGCTTTTTTATGCAGAAAAGTGCGAAGAATCAGTTTTTTTGTTCAAAAAGCAAAAAATTGCACTAAGAAAAAATTTTCGGTCATTTTAATACACTACAGGTACAGTAGAGAGCGCCCTCTAGCGGCTACAGTAAATCTATACCCATGGTTCGTTTTGTCGTACCAAAAAGCCCTTGTATACCAATTTTCACTATTATACATCAAATATTGTTCGGAATATTTAAAAAAACTATTTTAAAAAATATTTCGGAAGCCACGCATTTTTCGACCCATGTTTATATAGACTTTATGCATTAATTTTAAAAGTTCTATCGAATTAAATTTATGCAATAATAAACTGAAACACCCTGTATAGCGACCTTGAAAACAATATGCTATCAACAGGTGGTTTTTTAGTAGGTGATGATGCTTTTGCACTGAAGACATATTTATTGAAACCATACAGTGGCGCAGACCTCACAAGAGTACAAAAAATATTTAACTATCGATTATCCAGAGCACGTAGATTAGTCGAAAATGCATTTGCATCCTAACAAGCAGATTTAGAATATTTCAAAAACCTATACCAACTGACGATAAGATTATTCGAGCCTCATGTGCTCTGCATAATTGGTTGCGCCTAACAAATCCCAGTTGTTACTTTCCAAAGGATTGCGTGGACGTAGAAGATGTTGACCCTGGAACAATTGTTGAAGGGACTTAGAGACGAGAACTCATAGCCACATTGCCATCTATCACCGATCACACTACCAATAATTCACCACGAATAGCAAGAAATCTCAGAGACAAGTATGCCGAATACTTTAGTGGAGCAGGTGCTGTTGTATGGCAAGATAGAATGATTTCATAGTTGTAACCCAACCAAATAAACTACTTACATTTTCATATGTCTTTCTTTCCAGATCGTGAATTAACACCTCATTTCCTTCAGCCACTTGATGTTTGAAGTATACACATTACTGAGCCCAGCCCCTGATCTCTTTGAATCATTAATTTTGTTCAGTTCTTGACTGTACGTGGATCTCAAATTTTTAATCTTATTTTTGACTTCTGGCACTCCAAGGCCATCAATATCCGTTTCTTCAACTATTGCGGCAATTGCAGCATCCCGTTTCTGTTTATTTTTGTAGTCCGTCGACTGGAAATTCCACAAGCAAGAATGGGATTTATATTGTGGGATAAATTTGATTGTGGTATCAAAGTCCCATTTATTCTTAGCCATATTTTATTGAAAGATGAAACAGTCAGACCATAAAACTAGACGCAGTTTCGCAGTTGCTTTAGATGGCGAGTGACATAGCACACCGAGTGCCTGTTCAAACCTGTCGAGCGCGTGTCGAGCGATATACCAAGTAGGTAGGGGGGGTGGCACTGGGTCTAGTAAGGAGAAAAGGGTCCGAGTGACTGTCTGGCTCTTCTACTGGGCCCAGTGCTCGGCCGAGCGCTCGGTTACCTGTTTATACTAACCGAGTGCTAGGCCGAGACCACTGTACTCGTTACATGTGATCAAAGCATTACTGTTGGGAATATTATGGCATGTTAAAACTAGTTTCAGGTACAATGCTTGAACTCTTCACTGATTTATACGAGTACAATCATGATCTTAGAGAAGGTAATTTTCCTACGGAATTCAAAATAAATGTGCTACCTTTTTCCAAAAAAGTTAGTGCAAATTGCATAAAAAATGTTAGACCTATTACCATTATTCCAATACTTGCAAAAATATTTGAAATCACTTTAAAAATATAATAATAGTACACTGCATTGTAATCAGTTTGGCTATGAGAAAAATTTTGGATACAAAAGTCGAGTGCTTTGGGACTGGTTAACACGTGTCACTTACACTGAAACCTTTTCAGAGATTTCGGCTGCGATTTATTACTAACAAACATATTATGACTTCAGAGGCCGAGTTAAAGCTATTCCAAACTTATTAACTTATACGACAGAAAGCAGTGTGCTGTGGTAGACCGCGCTGTATCCGATTTAGAGGAAAATTGGTTTGGGGTACCGCAGGGCTTAATCTTAGGTCCGTGCCTTTTTATATTATACCTAAACGACTTATTCCATCACACACCAGGTCTTTGTGTGGCATATGCTGATGACACATCACCTATACAGGGTGTCTGCGAAAGGTTCTGAAATCTCGAAACTGGAGATACTACAGACCAAAATATGTAAATTGACCTAAACATACCTTGCGAAATACAGGGTTGTCAAATTTACAATTTTGTTTTCTTTTTTTCGTTATTGCGTGAGAAGTATTTCAGATTTTGGTATAATACTCAAACTTCTAGAGGGCGCCACTTACAGCACTAGTTCGGTAAACAACTTATAACTATTTTGTGCTACCCTGCATACAACAACGGTTTTTATTTTTTTACTCAAAAATGGCGCATCGAAGGAAAACAAGTCAAGACAGATCATTTGTTTTAAATCGAACGGGGAATTCTAAAATAATTTATATTTGATAAAAAAACATTGGCGTACTATTTTTTTCTTAAAAAATATCGAAGTCAATACCCATACGCACGCCACTGTTAAAGCTAAAAATTATTTTTGCATTGAAAAATATGCGACTTTGTTAAGTTTCACTACGTACTAAATATCAGTGAAACATCTGAAGCGGTTCTGAAAATATTAATTAATTTCCATTTTTTTTTTTTGTTCTTGTAAGGAAATATTTTTGGACCATAGTTTATATAGCAAAGTAACATTAATTTTTCATGTAGATTCACACCCTTAAATATTCGCACATCATTAAGGAACACCCTGTATAGGCATCTCGATGTGAAGTAGTTGGACCTTGGCATTCTGGCTTAACCTGGATAGCACCGTTCGTGGTCAATGCCATTCCAGAGTCATAACGTCTTATTCTCTCAATTTTCAGCTAGTTTCTTTCATGTCATGTCACAACGTCCTAAGCTTAAAAATGGCCAATTGTGAACAAATACGTTGGTTTTAGATGCCAAGTGTGACACATAAAGTTACACTAAGGTGGACCAAGAAATCCAAATATGCAATATGTAATCTCTAATGGGCCGATTTTAAAAAATACAACTTGGATATGAACCGCCCTGTTTAAATGTTGTAAATGAGCATATTTATAATTTGTAATCTTCAGGGCTTTCCACCATGACCCATGTGTTTTTGAGCCTAAAGTCCTCCGTTCACGCACTTTTAGCCTATTCTGTATATGGGAATATGAACAGCTGTCGTATCAATACTATAATCCATTCTGGGAGAGCATTGCTCTAAACAGCTGACAATCCAAAAAAGAAATGTGTATACCAAATGCAGAAAATTGCTAAAGTAATAATGCTTTTCTCTTCTTTCCAGACGTCAATCAGAGCGGACAGATAGACAGGAAAGACTTTGAGCTAGCAATAGAGGTAAGTTGCTCTTCTTCACTCAAATGATATAATTTCCAGAAGCTCAGTTGCAGTTTTATTCTTCAAAGCTCTTGAGGTTGTCACTAAAGCTCATATAAAAATTCAATAATTAGTTGTGTGAGCCGGTAAATGTTTCAATTAAACAAATGCCTCTATAATGAAGTAGAAACCACGAATACTGAAATATTAGAAGCATTATACAGCTGGAGCATCACAGCCAAATTCGACTCAGGTCCAGTAGTGTGCGATATGCTAAAGCAGGGGACAGGGAGTCTAGAAAAAGACTGGTATTAACCATATCAGTGTTGTCATTTACATGACACATGCACATACATATTTCCTCCAAAAAATCACTTGCTCAAAAATGCAAAATCGTCCATGGCAATTTATCATTTCGCTTCTATCCGGATTCAGCCAGAGGCATGACGCAACGTTGCCAATCATGCAAGGATCCAGGTGCAGCAATTTATCTGAATTTGCAAACATATTTAGCCTGGATGAATATGGTAATACCAGCTATTACTTACCTTCCGTATCATGCGAGCATGCAGCTGTAGAGCAGTATAATGAATCTGATAGGTGTTTAATGTGCATCTAAGAAATTGCATCAAGCGTCTTATCGAAAAGTAAGAGAATTAATATCGGTATCAAATTCTGCAAAATCGGCATGGGAATATTGATTTTGTTCAACAGGTGAGATTTTGCAAGACGAGCGCTAGCAGACAATTTGTGCAGTGTGCCTTCCTTCACACGCAGGCCACTTCTTGACGTGTCGTTACTGTAACTGTACTATTTTACCGTATACTTATTTTCGAATACAAATTTTGCTATCGATCAAACTATGTTGATTTTCCACTTGAGTATCGACCAAGACCGATGGTCGATACTTTTCAAATAAAATTTTGGACTGTCATAACAAAAATCAACGATCTCAGTCAACTGACCTATAATCCAGGGGAATATGTTTTCAGAAATTCCTGGATTTTGAGCATTAGAAGTGGAGATATAGCCGCCTTGCTCATCTCATGTAAACGACCACGGTTAACGAGATAATCAATCACCACGATAACTCTAGGGGACAAGGGGATTCAAAAATAAGTCGACTGGTCTGCTACACAGACCGGTCGTTGTCTCTAGAGGATTTTGGCGCTGGAGTTTTTTGACCCAGAACAAAGCTCTCACAGCCTTTCTAAAGCTACACCACAATTGTCTAGGGGGAAATATATGCGATTACGAGCATACAGGGAAAACCAAATTTGTCTGACGGCTTGAGTTCAATGTGTAAGAGAGAGGAGCGCGAGAAGTGTTTATCAGCACATGTTAGAAACAAATAGAAGCCGGCTGAAAACCAAAAATTCAAAACACAGCGCAACAAAAACGAGTTGTTAATATCACAAATATCATGATGGCTATACAAATAAATATTTGCTCAAGCTACCTTTACCATGCTGGATTATCATTCCTGAAGTTTGTGGTGAATCACGCAACACTACTTTTTACGGCAAAACTCTGTATCAAGCGTTGTATTGTGTGTTAAAAGTTAATATCTGGATATTGATCACGACAAAGAAGATACGAATTATGAATTTAATATAATCTAAATCTATCAATATTGTTGTTTTCATGTATAACGAGAGTTTACGGATTTTTATTTTTGCTTTACTTTCTCGCATTGTTATTGTTTTATTGAGGTTTTTAATAAGGTTGCGCGCATTGTTCGGATTGGGAAGACCTAGATTCATTGCTTGAGATCGTACAAACAAATACTTTGCTTTTGGCGAATACTAAAGGACTGAAATTAGTTACATCCAAATTTACAAATTTTTATGATGAGATCTCAGCAACAGAATTACTTTTGGAGATACCAAGACTGTGAAGACACTTAAAAGCTGCTAATGTTACAGTTCCTAATTGGGTATCTCTAGATTTTTTTAACTTTATTGTGGAATGGGGTTTCACAGAATATCTTACAAATCCTGATTGCACTAAAATTGTTCATGATTGTTTGCGTGTCCGTAGCGGCTTAGCAATCTTGGTACGAGGCAATACAAACTATAAATTTTGATGAAGTTTGCAGCTCTAAAAGCTAGAACGAAGAGATTTTAATTGTAAGATAAACATATTTTTTCTGTCTTAGCTGTTATTGTGTTTTATTTGTTCAATATTTGACATTTATAAATCATATAAAATTTATTGCTTTTGACTTGGTTGACATCACCAACTTCCGCACCGGGTGCCGCTCAAGATAGCTACGCCACTGATTGGGCTTGATTTTTGTGGACCTTGAAGTATCCCCAGATAAAATCAAGAATTAATTCTTGCTAACTCTTACAAACTGTTGAAAAATATAACTTTGACTACCATCATATTATGTCATGTGGTCGGAATCGATTACACACCTTATTTTAAAGTTGCCCTCTGAGCGTTCTTAAAATGGCCTTAAAGTACTTTGATGAAAACAAACTTTTTTTATGACTAAGTACTGTGTAATAATTTCATTTACTTGTTTACCAACAGCGATATATGTAATAGTAATTCAGTAAATAGCAAATTATCCCCACGAATATAATGCGCCCTATGTGTCTAGGTTTTGCGAACACGATGAAGCTGACTCGCCTCGACTTGGTTGTCGGTTGTTACCATTTTAATTTATGGATACACTTGGTAGTCCGTCGGGGACCGTCGGTATCGGCTCGTGTCTGATCGCGGCCGCCCGAGTGCGTGGGGCGCTGCGACTATTATGTGGGCTTGTTACCATTTTTTGATATGGTAACTCACTTCTCACTCGTCAGTAGCCGTTTTGGTTACCGGCTGTAGTGTGCGTGCAATTAAAGATGGATGAGTGTCGCTGCGTAATCGATCAACTACTTGTAAAGTCATTTTCCTTATATAATTTTTAAGAAAAAAAGTATATGTAGATCATTGAAAGTGGAAGACCCTATTTTAGGTAATTTTGAAAAAGAATAAAAAAACGTAGTTTGATATTTTAAATTAAGTTGGTATATGGAAACTCTTGGTTATGTGGTTGCAAAAAAACAGATTGTATTGTTGGCGATGTCTTCTGTTTTATACAGAATAAAATGCAGCGGAGTCAACGATTTAAATAGTTTTAGGGCTCTAAAGGGGAGATATGAAATTTCTCCGTTACATGTGAGATGGGGAACTAATTTAATTCAGTTTGGCAAAACAAGAATCGAAAGCTGTCTTAACCAAGCTTTTAGGCAGCATACTTCTAGATACCGTATGTTTTTTGGCAAAACAGGAATTACCGTTCATTTTGAAGGGGATGACTCTGACAATCGAGGAAATTACAGGAAATTGTTAAGATTCATTGGCAAAATTAGGGGAGGTTCAAAATAAACTTTTTTTAATAAGACTTTTCACTTCTGGTTTTGGTAACAGTTTAGGAAAAGTCAGGCGTCGCCACTGTCAGTATTCTTTCAAAGTGTCGTTCAGATGATCTTAAGTTCACACTCAAATGCCCTCGTAGAGACCAACCAACCATAGATGTGAAATCAGCAACCTAAAAAGCCATGTTGTACTGAATGTCGTGCCACAGGAATTAATTTTTATTATCTTGCTTGGTGTTCTGGATCACTGTGAACGCTTTTGCCTATTTATAGGCAGAAACAACCTAGGGTTGCTTGTAGGACTAGTCTCTGGCCCAAAATCCGTTAAGACGTCACCTACGTGCTGAAACTACATTTTAGAGCTCGAGTATTCTTACTTCCCACGCCTACTGGCGAAAATGAGATATTTCGTTTTTTGGATGTTATATGACATCACGATAAACCATGTCACTCATTTCCGTGGGTCTGTCTGTCGGTCTGCCCACAAATCCTCAGCCTGTTCATAATGTGGAAAGTACTGCCCAGATTTGGATGAAATTTTTACACAAGGACTGAACAGCTTTGTAGTTTTTGTAAATCGGTCAAGTAAAAATCGCTAAGACTGAGTCTTTTTGACGTTTCAGAGGATCCTGATCATTTATGACGAAATGTTAGGGGTAAAAAAATGGAGGGTGTGGTTTTGTAGAGGAATGGGGGACGGTATATCGCAATTTTTCGATGCTAGAACGTGAGTACAATTCTAGCCCCGGTAATTCGACGCGCCTATTAGACATATTTCACATATCATAAATCAAATACAAGCGTTTATTATCACTTAATAATCGGTGCTTTTTCGTCTACAACGGGGTATGGAAAGTTGAAAAAAAGAAAACTTTCATAATATTAATGGGAGGAATGTTTTTTTTCAGAAAAAAATTTTTACTGATGGAAGCATGGCTTTGTAGCTATGATAACTTTCAATTCTCTAAACTTTTCCGCATGTCAAAGAAAATATTTATTGATTTAGCAGAAATGATGAAAAATCGATGAAAAAAAGATATTAACAAAACCGTATACAGGTGGACATCATCCAGTGAGTTTATACGGCCATATTTTAAATTTCTTGTGGTATATTGCTATACAGGATACTTTGTTAAGCGTAGGAACTAGATTTAAAGTGTCCCCGCTAAAACTGAAGTCAGCCTGTATCAAGTTTCCCAAAAATGAAGCTGAAGTACAATAAAAATATCCAATACCCGGCAAAATTCTAACTTGTCACATGTCAAATAATAACCAGAAATATAAAACTACTCCCGAGTTGGGTAAATACCAAAAATTTGCGGTGATAACTATGACATATAACAGCTGATTCATGACGTCACGGATCCTATAACCAAACTGATAACCACACTTGCTTGAACGGATCGGTAAATACCAATCCAAAATGGTAAATACCATTTCCATTTGGTTATCCGCTCGAATTTGATTATAGATTTCCCTCTAAATCCGAAACTTGTCCATGCGTCTTATTTCGTACCAGAGATGCCAAATTTCTTGTACATGCAGTACATACATAGTGGCGTATATAGAGCTTGAGTTCAGGAGAAGCATTTTCAGTTGGTTTGATTGGTAGGAGATTGGATTGTCAAATATGACCATCAGGCTACCAAATGTCAACGCGCTGTAGTATAATGTATAAAATGGAAGTATTTAGAGTTGATATGATCCAATAAGATCAACATTTACCTACTTAAATGATATTTTTGCAGCTAGAGAAAAACAATAAATAGCGGTAATGATATCGTTTTAACAAAATCACTATTACAAAATACCTGCGCTGGCATTGTGTAGAGAGTCCTGAGCACGGTTATATTTGACAGACCAACTATTGATCAACCGGGCCAACTGAAAAAGCTAAAATGTTGCTGAAACATCGATTTACTATCCATGCATTAGTATCATTTTTCCACACAATGTTGAATACGTAGAAAATTGAACGAAACATGTATTAGTCTCGTACAAAAACTTATAATATCGTACATCTAGGAGATTTCTCGTACGTCTGGCAACATTGTGACCGACGCATGGTGCGGTCAGGTATTGGGGAGAGGCCATGTTGCCAGATGGACGGTACTACGGGTAGGGCAAGACGAGTACGTTTGGTACTACGGACTTACTGTATATATCTGCTTGACGGACTTATACATGTTTGTAACTAACTTTTATCTGACTTAAGCATGCTGCTTTCTCCGACCGACCAAAGATACCCAACCATGGACAGCTGTTTTGTGATTTTTTGCAAACTATCGACATGACCTAGGCTTGATCTCTGGGAACAATAACGAAAGCATAGCAACTATCCTCTATCCAGGACATGAGGTCCATTAAGCCGACTTATTTCGATCTAATTTGTTCTGAACATAATCTTTTATAAACTGCATGGAAAGAGAAGACTCACTTGGCGCCATTTTTCCACCAATCTACGCTTTCACACGATACAAAGTTGCGTTGAATCATCTTAATTTTTAGGCCTAGTAAAATCCATTTGTTTTTGAAAATATGTTCCATTTCAATAAAATTACACCAATGCCTTTCAATTTTATTGTTAATTTAATCTAGTATCTGTCATTATGTTTCACTGATTACGAACGAGATTTCCCAGACACGTATTCTTCAGTGGATCCTATAAGAGTTATTGAGGTTACTAAAATTGTAACATTGTAAATGAATTGAGTAGAAAACATTAAGCCGAACGTTCCATTTTATATATCTTCGAGCGCTCGACACGATAGAATTAACAGTAAACTTAACAGTAAGCAGAGAAACAATTGCTAGGTTGCCGAGGCACGTAGCTGGCATAAATCGGTTTTATTGCTCCAAAGAAGTACGTGTATGTAACCTTCGCGTGTATCTTGTTACTTATTGGTCTGCAAAATTTAGGCAGCTACATAATTGAAATCGCGATTTCCGGTTTATTAGCAAAAACTCTGCTTGACGCTTCCCTGAAGCGGATGCCTGACCTTCATTATTATCAAGCGTAAATAGTAGTTTAGGTAGGCTATCAAATCCCTTCGTTCGTCCATCATTATGTATTTTGACAGGAAAAAGTTGTTGTGCACTGCTGGTAATTTCATTATCACTCCTAGATATACTAGACATTATAAATGTTACACCCAGAAAAAATAATGTCTGCAACTTGTTTTTTGGCAACATAACTATATTTTTAAGCATGCTGTGGCAATAATGTCAACATTTTAGCTCTGTTTGTGTTTACCTTTTTTAAAATGTTTTCTCTTAGTTTTTGTGAAGAATGCAGTTTCTGAGAGCTGAGTAGTTTAGATATTTTTAATTATTGCCCTTTCATTTACTAGTGTAGCGTTTTTCTGGGTTCTTTTGTAGTAGATATTAGTTATTACCCTTTCATTTACTAGTGTAGCATTTTTCTGGGTTCTTTTGGGTGTGGATTAAAGCACTGGATTCCACAAAAAGAAATGCACTGGCTTGAAGAGCGATCTTTGGGTCCATTTTTAAAAGAAAACTTTTTATGAAATGTTCTAAACGTCTTAAATCTTGA